TGATAATACATTAATTGAGCACTGGTGATCCTTGTAACTGCCTAGAACAGACAATACTATAATGAATAAAGCACTGAAATTGAAAAAAACAAAACAAAACTCAAAACCACTGTTATTGAGTCAATTACAAATTGAGGAAACCCTATAGGATAGAGTAAATCTGCCCCTTTGGGATGCTGAGGCTGTAAAACCATACGCGATCAGAAAGCCTCATCTTTCTCCTACAGAGCAACTAGTACGTTCAAACTGCCAACCTCATGGTTAGCAGGTCAGCAGGTAATCCACTATGCCACCAGGGCTCCATTTTTTGGGGTCTCACTATAAAATTCAAACTTTGAGGTACTTCTGAGAAACCTAATAGCTGCTAACAACAACCGAGAGATGCTTTTACATGTCAGAGCCAACACTGGGATCTGAAACGACTGATCTGTACGTGGGCAGACGCAGGAGCAACTGCCCACAAGTGCTGCTGACGGCCACCAGTTCAAGACCGTTTAGGGAGTTTCCCGTAGGTCACAGTCATGGCATCGCCATTAGTAACAGCAGATTTGGAAGAAGGCTCATTAACAACCTTCAATATGCAGATGATACAGCTTGCTTGCTGAAAGCAAGGAGGACTTGAAACACTTGCTGATGAAGGGCCGCCAGCTTCACACTGGATTACAAATCAGTGTCAAGAAAAACCAATATCCCCACAACTGGGCCAATAGGTAACATCATGATGAACGGAAAAGGCTGACGTTGTCAAGGATTTCAGCTTGCTTGGATACAAAATCAGTGTTCCTGGAAGCAGCAGTGAAGACATCAAAAGACTTGTTGCATTAGGCAAATCTGTGCAAAAACCCTCTTGGGAATATTGAAAAAGAAGGAGGTGACTTTGATAAGACTTTATGATAGTCTCTGCGGGAGAAAGTGAAAGTCTTTCACTTGGGTGTGGCTCACCCGAGTCATGATATTTTCAGTAGTCTGATAAGCATGTGTAGGTTGGACACTGAGTAAGGAAGACCGAAGAAGACTTGATGCAGTTGAATTATGGTGCTCATGAAGAATATTGAAATTACCGTGGACAGCCAAAAGAACACACAAATCTCTCTTGGAAGAAGTACAGCTAGAATGCTCCTTAGGAGTGAGGATGGCGAGACTGCTTACATATTTATACATGTTATCAGGAGAGACCAGTCCCTGAAAAATGACATCATACTTGGTTAAGGGAGGGGCAGCAAAGAGGAGAAAGACCCTTGACAAGATGGAGTGACACAGGTGCTGCAATGGGCTCAATCAAGCACAGGTACAGGGCCAGGCAACGTTCATGCTGTTGTACATAGGGTCACTATGAGTCCGAACGGCTGTTACCGCAGCTAACAACAACGTTAGAAATAATAAGTAGCTAATTTGTGGTCAAATCACATAGAGGTCTCTGGCTCTCTCCAGAAAGTTGCATTTATTTCAGGTTTTTAATCCGTTTTTTGTTTTACTGAATGGGGGTAAAATCTGCCCATTAGATAATGCAGTAGAACTACTAAGAGATTCTGGTTAGTACTCAAATACCTTGAAATGTAATTGGCTCTTGTATTCCCAGGGGAGTAACAAGTCTGATATCTTATGGGAGTTCACTGGAGTGTGCTAATGGAAATATAGAATTGAATTGGGGATGGTAGGTCAGTAGCTGGCTTGAGAGGAAGATAGCGAGTTTCATTTTTAGGAATTTTGAGTGGGATGTGAATGGATCATCAAAAAAATTTTCCCGATCTATGTCATGCACTATGTATTGACAGGGAGAGAGAGAGAGAAAGAGAAAGGCTCACTCCTCAGTCCCTTGCTCTTTTTCCTTACTTCCTAGCTAGTTGCCTGTGAGGAGATTTCTACTCCTTGTTGTCTCTGTGTGTCAGAGTTGAAGTGTGTTTCTGATCGTTTTCAATGGTTGATTATTCAGAAAGAGATTGCAAAGGCATTCTTCCAAGTTTTCTCTGGGTGGACTTGAACCTTTAACCTTTGAGATAGTAGGGAGTCAATGAACCCTTTGCACTACCGTCGGTTCTCTGGATCTCAGATTGCGTCTCTGTGTGCGTGCTGCTAGCAGTCCCGCCCCTCTTCTTCCTGCATAATCCTATGCATACTGAGTGTTTCCTTCTTGGAAATTCTCACCCAGGAGCCCACAAACCAAATACAGAAGGGTCCCTGGATTGCTGCAAAAGTGGAAACCCATGGACAGCTCCATTAAAACAGAAAAAATTATTAAAACCTTTGTTACCTGCAAGTTTCACGCATTTTCAATATAGATAAAATATGTTCTCAGGTAAAACAAAAATGACCAAATCTCATGGGACATAACTAAGCAAATGTTCTGGCAGCCCAGAGAGACGGAGGAACAAAAGAGAACAAAATTGAATAACGTCCTTATAAACTTACATTTCATATTTTGCAAAGGCTTCCTGTGATGTTACAATGGCAGGTGAGTACTCAGTACTTGTTCATGATAACATGATCCAGGTCTCCCCCCCGCCCCACCTTTGGTCAGAAGGCCTGAAGCTTAAGGCATAGGGAGTTCATTTTCAGCAGAGAAAGGGGAGTCTGAGATGCAATGTGGCTGTGATGTCCCCATTTAGCATTTATAGCAGTTTTTATTGTGGGAAAAGGCAAGATGGGAGTTCATCCAATTTAAATATCATTATCTACTCTGTAGTTATTACAGATATTGTAAAACTGTATGAAAAGAAATCAGTTATAACTTATTCTGGAAGGTAGGCATCTATTCAATATTCAAATACCTCAGCTTGACAAAGAATTATCATCACATATGGTGCTTCTGGGTGGTCTCTTGAGTGCCTCAATCTAACTCGGGAGGCCCATTCCTAACATTATCAGTGCCAGATTTTCTGAACTGGGAAAAGTTGAGGATTTAAATACTTATTTTTTAAGGTCTCAGGAAGTATTAGGTGATGACTTTACAATTAAAATGTCATGACAAGACACATGTGTCAACAGTGGCTAAGGAAAAAGAAATAAAAAGGGGTCCTGGAAACAGACATTGGATATAAATGACTGACACTGAATATAAATGGACATATGTGAATATAATATACTTGGCGCTGTTTCTCATTTCTCCCTTAGATTGTTGTTGCCGGGGGCTGTCCAGTGAGTTCGCACTCACATCAACCTTATGTACAACAGAACGAAATACTGTCCTGCCCTGTGTATATGGTGGTTAAGTCTGAGCCCATTGCTGCAGCCAATCTGTCCTACTATCTCATTGAAGGCGTTTGTTTGTTTGCTTGCTTACCCTTCCCTTTACCAAGCATGATGTCCTTCTCCAGGGACTGGTCTCTTCTGACAACATGTCCAAAGTAAGTGAGGTGAAGTCTCGCCAGCATTGTTCATTCTTCTAGAAGTCCGTAGTATAATTAACATTCTTCAGCAATCATCTAATAAAATGCATACATTCTTCTTGAGTCTTTCTTATTCATCAGCCAGCTTTCACATGAACATATGATGACTGGCCACACCACGGCTGAGTCAGGCACAGCTCAGTCCTCAGAATGAGAAATGTTAACACTGGAAAGAGGTCTTCTGCAGCAGATCTGTCCAATGCAATGTGTGCTTTGACTTCTTGACTGCTGAGCCCATTGTAGATCCAAGAAGGAAATCCCTGACAAGACCAACAAGGTCTCTGTTTATCCTGATGTTTGCGATTGGTCCAGAGGTGAGGAGTTTTGTTTTATGGTAAAGTAAAATCCATATTGAAGGCTGGAGTCTTTGATCTTCATCAATATAGCTATTACGCATCATGATCTGTCAATGATTATGCAAGACTTCTCAAGTGGTTTCTTGCAGCAAATCGTTGGGTATTTTTAACCTGACGTGTTAAAGAGTCAAACAAAGTCTGACTGGCTTGTGATAGGATAAGTTGGTTAATACAAAGTTGGTGTTAGTTTTACAGATCAAGTATCTTTTTCAAGAAATGATGGTTTCTAAAAAATTATCTGCAAGTTAGCCATACTGCTTCCTTAAATATTCTAACATCAGTGCCTCCTTAATAGCAGTAGTGTCAAATATGTTTTAGCTATTTTTAAAAAGTTGCGAAGAAGTGATTTTAATTAAAACATCCTTTGCATTGATATGACAAATATGTTTGCTGCAGCATGTGGCTGTTCAAGCTGCCAAGCTTGTAATATTTTGGACTATTCCTTTATTCATATTTCAAAGGAGAAATGTAAATCTGGCAGTGTTAGTTGCACCCTAAGGACAATGGAGGAAGCTCACCATGATGTTTTTATGGATGAAACCCCTCCGGTATCGAGCTGGTTTTAGATGTGGATACTCTTCAGTGCTGGTGATTTTAATATTCCAAACCTTCTTCCAAGCCTCATAAAGCTGAACGTGCACAGGGTAAACACCGGAATGGTGTGGGGACACCGCGTAGCCCATGTCCGTAGGAATGCCATGCTCCTAAGACCAAGCAAACATTAGTTAGAGGCAGTGAAGATTATGTTGATTCTATATTCATTCCAGGATTTTCAGATATACTATAAATTGTTTTAATTCAGATTTGTTTAAATCTGAATTCTTAGTTGCATACAGTCATAAATATTAGCTGTGCAATACTTCATGAAGCCCAGCAGCTAGCCCACCAGCCTTCATATTGATACATTTGTGTGTGAGGGGTGGTAGGTCCAGACCGGGAGCTCTGAAATTACGTTTATGTGATACCGAGTTAGGTTTTTTTTCCAGTTGTTGATGTTATTTGAGGGTGTTGGGATAATTCTGCATTATTATGAATTTCCTTCTCTATTTGTGAAGGTTTATCAATTGATAGACTCCCTTACACATATTAAAACATAGCACAGATATGAATGATGAACCTTGTTTTACAGAAAGAACACTCTCAGTGTCAGTAGCTGACATGCATTTTTGTCTTCTGAAAGCTTTACGTAATTTTTCCCCCGTTGGTATTTTTCAATTACTTTCAAGTCCTAAACTTCCCCTCAAATAGCTCCATTTGAATTCGTCATGGCCTTTCTTCCCACCAAAGAGCAATTTCACATAAGAGGACCACAGTATCAGGCTGCTAAACGGATTAGATTGTAGAACTAGGCTGCAAACTTCCAGGGAGATAGTGGAAGACGTACGGCTGGCTTATTTTTCAACCTAAATAAGCACAGGAGAGGAAGGGAGTATGTGAAGCGCCTGAATCCACAAGGCAAGTGGGCTGCATGACGTTTGCCGTGTACTGAATGAACTGTTAAGATTCCTTCACCTGACAAAGTAAAAGACACTAAAAATTTAGTCCCAACTTACTCAGAAAGCTTTACATCACCCATCCTCCTTTGTATGATTTTCCTCATATGTTTGCTGTACAATGTACACATTGCCCCACCCCACACACACCCCTTCAGTTGGAATGGCTCTTTCATCTGGTAATTGCTGTTTATTGTTTACAATTCAGATCAGCTAGCTGTAGCTGTGGTTGAGTATTCTAGCAATGGGAGCCACCATGGTGGTGATGGGAGAAAGAGTGCAGGTGGTGTGAGAGGTGGACGGAGCAGTCTGTTGCTGATGGCTGAGAAGAAACCATGATGCTCTTCAGTTTCCGTGCTGCCATTGTGGACATTGCTACAACTGTGCAATTATTATATTACTTAGAATTTCACAAAGGATCATGAACCAATACCTAATCTGTGCTGGAAAAATGATGGTTTAGATTCCCTGGGGTGGTCTGAAAACAAGGGTGCAGGAAGGAATAAGAGATCTCATGAAAGAAACTAAATGTCAAGTCCAGAAACTGAACAGAAAGAAATGAATAATTGCAGAGTAGCTTTGTTGGAAGAGTACGGGAAGAAGCCTGGGTGAAATTCACCCAGGGAAATAATCACATTATAAAATTCAAATACCTCTAAACTTTGCAAGGAAGTATATGAATAGATATTAATGTGTGTACCATTTGTTAGCCTTTGACTAGGAGGAGGTTTATTCTCCCTAAGTCTCATGTCTTGCTCTAAAAAATGTGCTTGCCTTGAAGGGGCTTGGGGATACTTAAATAATACATGCATTTACCATAATTCTTGAAATATGATACATATTCAATAAACGTAATTCAGTAATGCTGCCATTACCACCCTGACTCCACTGCCTTTCTGCGTTATAATCCTATCACCCAAATATAAAGTGGAAATTACAAAAGTACTAGCATTTGTTTTCACTCTCCGAGATAGCATGCTTGTTTTCTCTATTGCAGTACAGATTTTTCAGTTTCTCTTGAGATAACCGTGACTTCTACCCCACGACTTCATCCTGGGCCTGTTCCCCTCCTGATCTCTCCAAACCCCGTGTATTGGCGCAGTGGCAGCTAACGATTACATCACTTTTGAGGAAGAAAGTAGAACATAGTAGGCATTTATTGCTTTAAAAAGTTAATTCTCATTATCATCACTTCTTGAGAATATCGTCTTAGATCCAGAAGCTCTGTAATCTATGTTAGCACCTTCAGTGGAGGACAAGAACTGAAACGATAAGAATACAGTTATAAACATATGCTCTATAACACAGACTATATGTTTATAGAGTATGTAAGTATATATGACACATAGTATAAATCTACACTATAAAACGTATGTCAAATACTTAGAAGATGGTGGGATGAGTTAGTTCTCACAACGGGACTCTTCCTCTCTACCTCCCAGCCTCATGAGATCTGGTCTTTCCCCAGAGGTCGTTCTTCTTAGGAAATAGCATCAGCAACCAAACACCTGCTGTGTAGGAAAGATAGCTGCCATTCGTGACACCTTTGAAGCCTCTTTCTAGATTCTAGCAAGCCAATTCCAGCGCTTGGGGGAACCCCAGATTCTCAGAGTAAAACTTCTCCATAGTTTCAGAAACAAATCTTCGCCCTGGTCTCCCCACGTTTGAGTAAGTCCACACAGGCGACCTTCAGGCTAGTGTGAAGCATAACTCCGTGCCACTGTGGGTTCTTCCTGCAGTCTTTCCTAAATCCAGTCTATCATCATGTGCTATACATTGCATTTCCAGTTTCTCAATTAATCTATCCACTCTTCTCCGGTTGTATCATCATCGGCCCAGTCCAGTCAGTGTTCTTATTCCACGGGCTCTGGCTCAGACACCTAACTATTCTCTTCATTTCTCCTCCTTGCTTTTTTCTGAACCATTAAAGTAATATTTAAAAGACACAAATATGGCCATGCGGTTTCCTATTAAAAATCCTTCAATGGCTCCCCCGTACACTTGAGACAAAATACAAAATTCAAAGCCTGGCCCCAACTCTGCGTGCAGTGACCCTTAATTCTTTCTCTCTCCAGTCTCCTTTTGTACCACTCCCCACTGTTTATTAGCCACATCTACTTTTTCCTTGAATGCCCCAAGCGCTTTAGAGCCTACCTCAGAGCCCTACCATGTGTTGCCTGGAACATTATTATACTAATTCTTATGCCTTTTAAAGATAATTTATTCCATGCTTTCATTAACAACATCAAAATGAAATTAAATCCCCATTAAGCTTCTCTTAGGAGCCTCTAATTATCTTTCATAGTACACAGTGCAATTTGTAAGCACATATCTCTGAATCATTTCTTAATGTCTCTCCTCTTTACTAAACAATAAACTCCATAAGCGTTGGTCATGGTTCTGTTTTATGAACTACCAAATGCCCAGAAGCCACCTGGGTACTACATATGGCTTGTGCTGTACTACTTATGGAAAGGTTGGTAGGTCAAGTCCACACAGCAGACTGTGAAAGAAAGTCTTAGTGATCTGTTTCGGCAAAGTCTGTACTCTGTGAAGCATTTACCATGATCACATGCGTTTGCCATGAGTCAGAATCAACTCGATGATGGTGGGCATATGCCTAGTGTCTCCCCAAGAACCAATACTCGCCACATATTCGTGAATGACTACATGAACTGACTATGCCCACTTACTCTAATTTTACTTTCTGGATTACCTCAACCAAACTTTAGGTGCAGCTACTGAATGGACGTAAGTAACTGATAGAGACATTTTATGTCTAGGTAAGTAACACTTGAAAATAGTCTGAGAGTTTAAGTAAAAATGATTATCCAAGTGCAAAACTGACAAAATGGAGTTGCTATTTACTATAAGCTTACATATTTAGATAATGTGGTATAGAATTAAAATCTGTAACTTTTTGGGGGGTAAAAATTGCACTTAAATATTACCAAATCATGTAAAGACAATTTTATCCTGAAATATTAATGCTGCATTCATTCAAAAAATTATCTCCAAGACTAAAAGAAAACCTGCAAAATGTAATATTCAGATATTTGAGCAACACAGCCAGCTTTACTACAGAAAAAATTAATGATTATTTTTGTTCCATTTTTTGTTTAAACTCTTGCTAGCCACTAAGGATGGTACTAGTTGTAGTTATTCGGTGCTGCTGTAAAGACATACCACAAGTAGAAAACTTTACAAACATGGATTTCTTCACTCACAGGATCGGAAGGTAGAGTCTGAATGCGGAGTGCGGACTCCAGGGGAAGACCTCTGCCTTCGGTCAGCTGCAGAGGAGGGCTTTGGCACCTGTAAGCATCTGCGAGCTTCGGATCCCTAGGAGCTCTCCATATGCCTCGGCATTAATCTTCTCTTAGGTCTAAGAGGGTTCCAGACCAGAGGCCCTGGGTGTAAATGATACTCTGCTCCCATCTCTTCTTTCTGGGGTGAAATAAGTACCCCTGCTCTGCTTGTTTCTCTATTTTTGTCTCTTATAAGTAAAAGATATTATAGATATTATAGGCCACATCCCGGAAACTCCCCCAACCCCTTGTATTATGTCAGAGCTATGACTGAGGAAGGACAGTACTTCATACCCTAATCCCCTTTCAACTGATTAACTGATCACATCAGATTGCATTATGGGAAAGGTTGCCTCATGATAATTGCCAAGTGACATCATTATATAACTGCCACACCACTGAGACTCATGGCCCAGCCAAGTTAACACACAATTTGGGAGGACACAGTTCAATCCATATAGCACTTTACTTTTAATGTTTGTCTCTATTTTAATCTTCCTAAATGCAAAACCTTTCTAATTTCTATTAATAACTAGAAGACTTGGCCTATTTCCATAATTCTAAGACTGCCAGTTTTCAAACAATGTAATTATAAGAAGAAAACCTACAATGATAGGAAGCAAGCACATATCTGTATTGTACAGGGAGGGAAAAATCTAAAAGCATTAGAACATAATTTGGGAATACTTTCAAGTGCCTTTAACTGCTATTCATTTCCGTTGGAATGGACCATTTACCCAGCATATGAAAGTTCATAACTTGGTTAACTGTCTCAGAGAATTGAGAATTTAACTTTACAATGCACAATGGTTTCAAATGGCATTTTCTCTGTTTTTACATATAGTAGTATATTTTGGAGTTGTTTCTAGGGAAAAAAATGCTTTGATTGTTAAAGTGACTTCC